TTTTCCTTGAAGACGTTTCGCTTCTTGGGTGAGAAGCGAAAACATCTCCAAGGAAAAACCAAGTCCAGCTGCCTTTTGAAAAAGCACCTTTGGGACCATCAGCCCCCTTCAATTGGCCCACCCTAATGTGCAGCTTTAGATGGACAGAGTTCAATTGTGGAGGAAACCATGACTGAAAATCTCCATAAACAATTGGGGCTGATAAGTAATGCGTGAGAGATCTTTGAAATTGTGTGATTACTCCACAAAGCAGAAAGGTTAAATTGTTGGCTGGCCCCGCCCCTTCCCACGTGCCCCATTTTGGCTCCCAGGAGGCTTCTTAGGCCCGTTTTCACTCCTAGGCGGCTTTGGGGAGGCCTCCTGGGTCCAAAATGGGATGCAGGTGGATGCGGTGCAGCCCCCTGCGGCCCATTTTTGCTCCCAGGGTGGTGCAGGGAAGCCTACTAGGCCCAAAATGGGGCACAGGGAATGGGGTGGGCAGCACGTAACCTCTGTGTCCCGTTTTTGCTCCCAGACGGGTGCAGGAGGCCGAGTGCTGCCTGCCATGCCCACCATGGCCACGCCCATCCAGTCGGTCCTTAGGGCAGAGAACCGGTTGTTAAATTATTTGAATCCTACCACTAGTTTGATTTCTGAGGTGAATAGCGCCACACTGAAGATTTCTGGAAAGGTTGTGGGGAAATTGTTTTGTCTCATTTCTCTACAGCGGACTTAGGCATTTGACAATCCCTGGGCCACATCTGGCTCCTATCCGGCCTGTGTACATTGATTTTATTTTGAAAGTGACTATTTTTCCCCCAATTTACATATGTCTGGGCGTACATGCCTATGCACTTTCATCCAGTCCTATTGGTTCAGCCCTCTACAACAATCACATGAGTTTCTCATGTGGTCCCTTGAGAAAATTAATGGCCCGTCCTTGATCCACAGCTATTATCTGGGTACTGATATTAATTGAATTCTTCAGGCTGTGGAGTTTGTTTTGCTTCCACGGACCAGTTTTGAAAAGGATCAGATGAGTAGTGACCCTGGATAGCTCAGCAGACTAATGCATTGTAATTAACATCCAGCTGTCTGCAATTACTGTAAGTTCAAATCTCACTAGGCTCAAGGTTGACTCAGTCTTCCATCCTTTCTAAGGTAGGTAAAATGAGGACCCGGATTGTGGGGGGCAATAAGCTGACTTTGTATAAATATACAAAAGTATGAAGGCTATTGCTTAACGCATTGTAAGCCGCCCTGAGTCTCCGGAGAAGGGCGGCATATAAATCAAATTAAAAAAAAAAAAAAGTGAGGCAGAACAGGGTCCTGGGATTATGTCAAGTGTGGGGGTTGGGAAATGACAATTTTGCTCAATAAAGGAGAGTATTTGTAGCTCCGGGTTGAACGGTGGGGTCCTTGGTGCTCTCTGAGCTTGGTTGTTTTCTTGCAGGCGTTTCGTTATCCAAATTAGATGACAACATCAGTTCTAGTGACAATTTCTAGATAATTTCTCTATGCACATACACACAAAATCCACATATTAAATAAAAAAAACATCGTTTCTAAACTGGCAAGAGAAATCACCTACACCTGGACAGCAAACAGCACTCACTAATGACGATTCACTTAACAACCATCTTGCATAGCAACAAGAAATTCTAATTGCGGTTCTAAGTCAACTGTACCCTTGTGTAGCCTTAGTTGATTCAATCAATCAGTCGGAGTAGAGTTGGAAGGGACCTTGGAGGTCTTCTAGTCCTGCTCCCTGCTCAAGGAGACCCTATACCGTTTCAGACAAGTCACTGTCCAGTCTCTTCTTAAATCCATCCATTGATGAAGCACCCACATCTGAAGGCAAGCTGTTCCATTGGTTAATTGCCCTCAAGTTAGGAAGTTTCTCAATTCCAGGTTGCTTCTCTCCTTGATTAGTTTCCATCCATTGGTTCTTGTCCTGCCTTCAGGTGCTTTGGAAAATAATTTGACCCCCTCTTCTTTGTGGCAGCCCCTCTAATACTGGAAGACTGCTATCATGACCCCCCCCAGTCCTTCTTTTCTCTAGACTAGCCAAGCCCAAATCCTGCAACTGTTCTTCATGTTTTAGTCTCCACGTCTTTAATCATCTTAGTTACTCTTCTTTGCACTTTTTCCAATGTCTCAACGCCTTTTTTTGTAATGTGACGACCAAAACTGGATGCAGTATTCCAGGTGGGGTCTTTACTAAAGTTTTATAAAGCGGTATTAATACTTCATGCGATTTTGATTCTATATCCCCGTTTATAAAACCAGGGATTGCATTAGTTTTTTTGGCTGCTGCCGCACACTGGTGGCTCATGTTTAAGTCATGAATATTCGTTACAGACAATTCTAATATTTCCATACGTTTGCCCAAAGAATATGTATGTCTATTGGAGGTGGTGATAGTTTGAGAGCTGTAGGCAACCAAATTTCATTTTAATGTATGCCGATTAGTGTACATTCAAAGTGACAATGAAGTTATTCTAAGTTCTAAGAATGTCCCAAAAGCAAATCCTCTGATCCACTAACATGGGGGAACATACTACAAATCCTAAACAAGCTGTGTAATAGGTCAGCTGACCATCAGTTCAGGTCAAAATTGATGTCAAAGACCAGCATAAAAAAAAAAAGCAATTAACAAACTGAATTGACCACCATATTTTTCCTCCTTTCCCCCATTCTTGATAGGCACAATGTGAATTGATGGAGGCAAGTTTAGCTATTTGATGAACAGAATGATTAGAGAGAATACAAATGCCTGAACAGGTAGTACTTGACTTATGATCACGATTGAGCCCAAAATTTCTATTGCTAAGTGAGAGTTTGAGTTTTGCGACATTTTACAACTTATCTTGCCACAGTTGTTAAGCGAATCACTGCAGCTGATAAGTTAGTAACCTGATTGTTAAGTGAATCTGGCTTCCCCACTGACTTTGCTTGTCAGAGGGTCGCAAAAGTTGATCGCATGACCTTGGGACACAGCAATGGTCATAAATAACGAACCAATTCCCAAGCATCTGAATTTTGATGACATGATTACGGGGATGCTGCAAAGGTCATTAACTGTGAAAACTTTACACAAGAAAAAGTTATAAAAGGAAGTCTGGATTTTGCTCTGCAAGATAGATGATTTACCCGACACCCTTCATCTTATTCATGTGTGCTTAGTACTGCCCTCTTTTCTCAGAGCAAGACACCTAGGAGCATAACCAAACCAAGTTTTGAGTTCTAGAAGCCATCTACCACACTACCAGCCTTAACGTGAAGGTCTCTACCATCTTTTTAACCCATCTTAGTGAAGAAGGAAAGTGGTGTGAAGAACTGGCAGGAACCTGAAGGATAAATAAAGGGAGATGGGAGAAATGAAAGAACGTCACACTTGCTAAGTAGGTATTATTTATTAAGGCTTGTATTCTCCTAGAGGAAAAAGTTAATCTGATGCTGTTCCATTACTCCTTACATCAGAAGTAACAGACAAAGCTATATGTTCTAAATACAAGTCTAAATGATACAGCTTAAAACTTTCATTTAAATTGGAGGTCCTCTTGCGTAAATATTGTTTTTCAGAAGATATCTGCTTTCTAATATAAGTAAAAGATCCTCTACAATTAAACACGTGCAGATTCAATGTGCTAGAGCAACAGGCATGAGCACCAAGAATTCATGCTAAATTTTTTGAAAACTCCGGTTGGTGGCCACTTCTTCCGACAGCTTCCTCATTCCACAAAAACATGACAGAAGATTCATTTCTTAAAACAGTTGTTTTTTTACTCATCCAACAGAAAAAATAGGCACACGCACACACAATCAATTTTAAACATCTGAAGCATAATCCATCGTATGTGTCTGAACTAAGATTTGAGATTAAAGCTCACCATTATTAGTATAAAATCTTAAGTGACTTCCTCGAGGGGGCGAGTGGGGAAAAAAAAGGGGGTGGCATATTAAAAGTATGAATTTAATAATATTAAAAAGCAGGGGGGAAATTAAAAGCCACATTTTGCCCAAGCCCCTGCAATGTTGAACACATATTTAAATGATTAAAAGCTACAGATAAAGCAAAAAATTATGATAGGAAACTTGTCAGCTTTTTCTTGCAAGATATGATACAACGCAGATGTTCACTAATGTTCACCAATTATAGACAAAATAATTTAAGACGTAAAGTACAATCCATGAGGAATATTTCTCATGCAATATCCACAAAAAAATAACTGCAAATGATGAAAATGTACAATTGTGTTTGTGTGAAATCCCATTTATACTTCTTGCATGCGAAATTACCCCAGTGAATTACGCCTTTTTGCTTTTTTGTAAGGAAGGCAGAAGTATACTTTCAATTTTTTTTCCAAAATAATGAACGTGACAGATAAAGTTGAACTTCATAAAATAACCTGAGCTTGCTAAATTAAATGTCAATATTTTTGACACAGGTTATTTCTCAAAAAACAAAAATAAAAAACGAACTGGTATTTTTGTTTCTACTTGCCATAAGAATCAAACTGACTGTGGGAATGGCGAGACAAGGGGATCTGTGGTACATAAATATAAAAGCAATGACTTTTCAGATTAGAAACATAATTTGTGCTGCAATTAAAGGTCTTTGGAAAAAGGCTAATATTTTCAAAATCTTCAATTGTAGATGAACTTGTTTAACCAACTTTAAAAAAATAAAAAAAAACAAGAAACATCTTTATTAATGGATTCTACAGCATTTTACATAGAAAAGATTACAATTTAATGCATATTCAGCTGGGAAAACAAAAACAAAACAAAACCCAACCCCTCCCACTACAGTGTACTTAAAAGATGCAAGATTTGAATTTCCCCTGCAAAAAAGATATTGGAGCTGAAAGCTTTATAATCTCCTGATGCCAGAATACACAGCACCAAGGCATTTTTAAAAAAAGATTCAATTTTTCATAATCAAATTTAATATCAGTTCTAGTATATATATATATATGTATATATATATAGCAAACCATATATGCTTATTCTTATTGTTTATTTTGATTCTGACGTTCCTGCAAAGAGAAAAACAGGAAATTAGAATGTGAAAACCCAATAAAAAACTCTTTTACCCGTCTTTAATTTTTTTACAAGCCACCGCGTCACCCTAAAACAATGGGACACCCAATCTTTTTAAATTTCTATTTTGTTGCATGTACACTGTGGCCTGCATATGATGTAACAAGATTTTCTTATAATAAAACACAAGGAAACTGCTTTCATGCCATGCTATATATTTTAAACATACCACAATATAGCTTTTCGTGATAATTTTAACTCCTAAAGCTAAACTAGGATACCTAAAGGCAGTGTTTTCTGTAAAATTAAGAAATACTCCAAATATAGAGAAGCACATTTCTTTGTAAATTACAAGTTAACACCTTAAAACCAGGCTTAAAGGAGTATGTTTTGCAGTTTCTAGAACTCCGTGGAATGGAAAGCGACGCTACTGATGGAAAGTGATGTAATCCATGGTACATTTAACTTTGTCTTTGCTGAGGGGGGGAGGTGTTCACAGCACGCCAGAAAATAGATATGAATGGATTATATAATGCGAAAACATTTCAAGAGTGTGCACAAGGAACTTTAATCTTCAATGTAGCCTTCTTCTCATCAGAAATAGGTATCATAAAGTACCGTACATAAGTCTCAGCGCAGACCCACAAGCCTGTTACTTTAAGGGCAGAAAAACATTTTATGGTTTGGCTCAAGGGTGTTTTTTCAAAAGGCAACTTTTGTTTTTTTTTTCTTGAAGATGTTTCGCTTCTCATCCAAGAAGCTTCTTCAGTTCTCTGTTCAGTTCAACTAAGAAGCTTCTTGGATGCGAAGCGAAACATCTTCAAGGCAAAAACAAGAAAGTCCAGTTGCCTTTTGAAAAAGCACCTTTGGGACAGCCATGACCTGGATGACTGAGAATCTCCATAGACATTTGTGGTTTGGGACTTTTTTCTGTGAAAACTTTCTGAATCACAATTTTCTGAATGAGCCTCGGTGGTGCAGCGGACTAAGTGCTATTAAGTGCTAGCACTTAGCTGCCAGCTGCCTGCAATTAGTGCGAGTTCAAATCTCACCAGGCTCAAGGTTGACTCAGCCTTCCATCCTTTCGAGGTAGGTAAATTGAGGACCCGGATTGTGGGAGCAATAAGCCATCTTTGTATAGAACAACCCCGCTTAGGGGGGGGCCGAAAGCCCTAATAAGCAGGTATATACATAAAAGTATTCAGCCTATTGCTATAATGCATTGTAAGACGCCCTGAGTCTACGGAGAAGGGCGGCATATAAATTGGACTAATAAATAAATTTTAAAAATGGTAGCTCCAATATCCTGGACAAGTGACAGCTTCTGTTTGGATATGATCTTCAACAAGATGGAATAGCATCTACTTCCCATTTAACATCCTGTCATTCCTATTAATTTCATGTTTTTAAAGGGCTCAGATTAATAAATAGTTTGGTTCCTCAACTCCATTTTTTAAATGTTTAAAGGCCTTAAAACCTTTGTGAGCAAAAAACCCTTTGGCTGATCAACAGGATAAAAAATATATATCCTAAACAAGGTAAATCATGCAAATATTTTGAATACTTTAGACCTGCATGTCTTCAAGGATAGTCTCAGCCATTTGCAGGTTCTGCATCACTTCTGAAACTGAACAGGATCTTAAAAACAGGGAAATGTAGTACTCGAAACATGTAATCTTCCAAGATTGCTCAGGCTGATGACCACTCCTTAGAAACAAAATTACTGCAGCCCACACACTTGACTGCCTAAAGCATGTTCGTGCTAAAAAAAACTGCATGGAAGCTTTTACATTACAGTAACTCCAAAGCCACAATCCATGGTGGTCTTTTAAGGTGAAAGAAGCAGAAAATGCTATCCAGAAGGCAAGTTTGTTTTGCACCAAGAAACCTGCTTCTTTTCTCGCCTGTAGGTATCAGTTATATGCATTAATTTATGTGTCAGCCTAAATCTAATTGCTCTGTTGTGTTCCGTAAATCATTTGCAAATATTTGATAATGGTGTAGCTAAAATAACATCTTTGCAAAATAAATAATGCCATTTAAATACAATAACCTGTCACGTCGTTATTGCAATGCAAGGTGAGATCATTTTGTTCTGTGCTTCAGTGTAAACAATTTAAGCTGGTGCAAGCATACTGAAATTCTACAAGCAAATATTCAGTTGGAGACATTCTCTTCTGTTCCTAAGGGGATTTGTGAAGTAAAGGTACCACCTGAAATTTCAACTAAGCTTACAAAAAGGACAGAAATACTCTGGTCTTATTTATCTAAAGCTCACAAACTAACAAGTCATCTTCAACTGGACTCCATTCCTGATGGCGTATACTGCCATATTTCCGCCACTTTCTCAGAGTGATATGAAAAGTACAGGTAGTCCTTGATTTACAGAAGTTCATTTGGTGACCATTCAAAGTTACAATAGCACTAAAAATTGTGATTTAGGACTGTTTTGCACACGACCATTGCAGGATCCCCATGGTTACACGATCAGAATTTGGAGGCTCGGCCACTGGTTCAAATTTATGACGGTTGCAGGGGTCTACATGATCCCCTTGCGCGACCTCCTGACAAACAAAGTCAATGGGGAAGCCAGATTCACTTAACTACCATGTTACTAACTTAACAGCTGCAGTGATTCACTTAAAAACCGTGGCAAGAAAGGTTGTAAAATGGGGCAAAACCCAACCACTATCTCGCTTAGCAACATAAATTTTGGGCTCAACTGTGGTCGTAAGTCAAGGAGCATCTGTAGTTTGCCTTTGCTTTTTATCTATATTTGCCAGTCAGCATACACCCCCAACTTTCCAGTTAATGTCGTATTCAAATAGAAAGCTAAGTCAGCCATACTTGATTAGATGCTGCAATCTACCTGGGCAACATGTAGACCAAAGAGCTCTTAAAACCAGTAACTATAAGCCTGACACCAGTGGAAAACCTGCAGCTGAGATACAATATAGTGCAGTAGAACCACCCATTGTAACAGCAGCTGATAAAAAGAAATTAATTCTGTAAGCCTAATAGGCACCTAAATGCGGCTGTTTAATATAAATATACAGAAATATTCCCCAGATCTCATTTTTAACAATGAACTTAATGTTACAGTAACTCTAGTTTACTCACACTTCTGACTTTTGTGCTTATTTTACCCTCCATTTTTATTTTATGCCAAGTTCCTGAGAAAACTCATGAGTTCTACCATACTGTGATTTGCAATTATTTTTTTTTAATAAGGATAAATTCTTATGTTGCAGCATTTTGGAGAAACTAAACAGTCTATGCTTCTATTTTGTGCTATGGCTTAGTTGTTAATGCCCTTAAATCTCATTTACAGGTGAATTTTATAGTCTTTATAGTCTTTTCCTTTTAAAACCTTATGGTTCTTTTGGTTTTGGTTAAATCTATCATTGCCATAATGCTTGAGCATGTATTATAATATTGTATTAATAATGTTACAATCAATCAATTTTACACATATGAAAATAGCTCCTGTAATTGAGAAGTACACTAATAATTTTTTTTCTAAATATGAGTGCTGTACAAAATTTCAAATTCAAAATACTTCATGTCAAGGTTGAATCAATTGTTCTGTGTTTGAAACAGGCTTGCTCAATAATTCTGAAAGCATAATGAGCTTGAAACACCTCAAAAAAAGGTTGAAACAGACCACTTTGAACATCAAATAATTGCATTTAGACAAAATGTGGCATTCTGGATTTGTAAGGCTTTGCATACCTGTGCTAAGGAGATACCAACATCCAATTTGTTTAAAAGGCTTTCATTTCCACATGGATACTTTTTAAGCCCTTCCTTCAAGTAGCAGCCAGAATATCCCACATAAGGAACAAAAAAACTGCCAATCGTGGGTTTCTTTTATAGACGTCTCTTTAAAGCAGAAACACATCTTGCTCGTGCATGGGTGAGCGATTAATATTTCACTTACAGGTAGTCCTCGACTTATAACCGTTCATTTAGTGACTGCTCTAAGTTACAATGGCACTGAAAAAAAGCAAATTAGGACCATTGTTCACACTTACGACCGTTGCAGCATCCCCATGATCAAAATTCAGTCTCTTGGCGACTGACTCCTATTTATGACGGTTGCGGTGTCATGTGATTTCCTTTTGTGACCTTCCGACAAGCAAAATCAATGGAGAAGAAAGATTAATTTAACACCCACGTTGCTAATTTAACAACTGCAGTGATTCACTTTAACAACTGCAATAAGAAAGGTCATAAGATGGGGCAAAACTTAGTAAACAAATGTCTTACTTAGTCAGAGTTTTGGGCTCGGTTGTGGTCGTAAGTCGAGGACTACCTGTATATTCCAAGCTTTGTACCAGCCTACATCCATTACAGCACTGAAAACTAAGCCATATCTTAACAAAGCAGATACATCTCAACTTTTTGGCCTATTACAATAAAGCAGGTTTTAAAAAAAGAAAGCTGTTGGGTTGAAGCCTTGTGGGTTAAATCTGAAGAATGCGTAATATCTATCTTCGAAATAAGTTGTTTTTTTCTTTTTTAAAAAAACAGTGTCCCTTTGCACACTCAACTCCCATTCACCTCCAGGGTGGACTTCTTACCCCAACTGAATTAAAATGTTCTTAAAGCCAGTTTACCTTTCGTACCACTTCTTCCTCCTCCTGGCGCTTTTCGTAATGGGAAAAGTCATCGAAGATGGAGGTCGTGTGCTTGTACATAGCAATAATTTTAAGCACTTGCTTCGCTTTTTCTAAGGGCACCTCCTGAGTGTCACGGGAGTTTGTCACTGGCTTGTTGTCATTGTTCTCCAGCCTGATGTGTCGAAGCTGGTTGTTGGGAACATCTTTCACAAAGATCCACTTGACGTCAAACTTCCCCTTCCATTTGTCCTGGGACCACACGCCGGCACTGGTGCCGTAGTCCACCGACGACTTCATTTCTGCCACGCCACAAAAATGTCCACTGCCGTTAACGCTGAAGAGTAAATAGACCGGGCCTTTACTATTCATAGAACGGAAAGCGCTGTCCAAACGTTTGTTGCCGTGTTCTGTGCTACACCAAATGGAGTATTTGATGGAACGATGGATATCGTCCTCGGAGTAACTCTTGATGATGAACACGCGTCCGTTTTTGAGGTTCCACTCGAAATCCTTGGGGTTGTAACTGTGGGCGGCTTTCAGCTTTTCGAGAACGGGGTGGGACTCGCCGCCTCCTCCTCCTCCTCCGCCGGGGATGGTGTTCGTTGGGGTATTCCCAGGCGGGTTGCTTTCGTTACCGGTTCCTACGCTTTGGCCAAAAGCTGCATTGCGGTTGCGAGGTGCCACCCATCGGTTTTGAGGCGGGGGCGGCTGAGGGTTCTGGTAGGGCAGCTGGGTCAGCGGGGGTGGCTGGGTGGGAATTGGCTGAATGATCTGCGGCTGTGGGATAGACTGAGGAGAAGGGATGGGTTGTTGAGGAGTTGGGATTTTGGGCATGGGACCTTTATTGTCCCAAGTACCTATGTCCATGTTATGTTTGATAGGCGGCGGAGGCAAAGCCCCTCCTATTACAGGCCCGCTTTTCGCTTTCATTTTGGGCTGGGGTTTCGCAGGTTTGCTAGCAATAGCAGCCCAAGAGGTTGGCTTTGATACCGGCAGGTTGAGGTTTGATCCGCCGTTGCCAGACAACGCATTCGCCATCCCGGCACTGTTTACCACCGAGCCTACGGTTTTCACGGCGGAAGCCGTGACGTCCCCGCCGATCTTCAGTCCAACCATTCCCTGTTCGATGCTATTCATCCCAGGCGCTTTATTCAAAGTATCGTTATGAAATCCCGTTTGCCCATCCACAATTGTACCCCCAAGGGAGCTAGGTGGGTAACTGTAGCTGCTTCCGTAAGCCGAGTTCTGGGTCTGCTGCCCCTGAGAGCCGCTCGTTCCCCATGCTGAGAAAGGAGGGTTTTCGGGGAAAAAATTAAACCGGTGTGGATAAATGTTGTTGCCCAATCCGCCAGGCTGTCCAAACACAGCATCGTGCATGAAGTGGTGATCGCCGTTACTCAGCTGTCCATAGGTTGTAAGGTATGGGATAGGAGGGTCTCCTCCAGTTGACCAGGGAGCTTCACTCAGTGAGTAGGGAAAGCTAATAGAAGGTGGATAATAACTGGACAAGTAGGGATCGGTCATTGATGGATAGCTGTTGCTCTGTTAAAACGAAAAAGACGCAATTTCAGATTCAGTTGTTTACATTATTTAAACTAGAAAAATATTCAGGAAAGTTCAAATCCACTCTACAAAATAAAAGACTGTGAGGTTTTTGGGTTCTCTCCGAGCTTGGTGGTTTTCTTGCAGACATTTCATTACCAAACTAGATAACATTATCAGTGCTAGAAGGAAGTGGAGTTTGCACAGATGATGTTACCTAGTTTGGTAATGAAAGCACCAAGTTCAGAGAACACCAAGGACCTTACTATTAAACCCTGAGTTACAAATATTCTCTTTTATTGATAAGACTGTAAATGCCTTAAACCTGAAAACATGTCTCTTGCTTCTTAACACTTTCAAAATTAAGGCAGGACAATTCTTTCACATGGTTTCTCACCGACTGCTTCAAGGATTAATCACAAGACACAGAGCAATTTGAGTAGACATGTTTTGTTCGAAAATCTGCAGTTTGGATAAGTGAGAAGTTATTTTTAAACTTCTTTCACAGTACACTAATATTATGTTAGAGCTAAATTAATCCAACTGCTTTTGAACTGTTCTCAAACAATATAACATTATGCAGTTATATTAAATTTTAGTAAAATCAAATATTTGTAGATTCTTTAGACTAAAGCATGTACTGATCTGAAACAAAGTGGATTCCTCTGTGCAAATTATGCATTTAAAAAAAAAACCCTTAAGACTAAATGCGGACTCCAGAGTGTGTTCTCATCTACCCCAATTAAAGAATATAATAAAACTTCCACATTTGATTCATTAATCTGTCGTGTTACTTATTTTCCCATAACCACACAAATTCTGGCTTTTTAAAATCATTGTTACAGTCTCTTTGTTTCATGTTTTGTTTACTCACATAATCATTAATTTTCTTTGCATTCCACACTCATTCTTGATTCAACTTACCTATTTAAAATCCCACTGCTTATCTCTCCATTTTGCTAGCTATTTTTGAAACCGTCCTTCTACTTAGTGATTCCAGTTCAGTTCGCCTCTAGCCTGATCCCAGCAGCGTCATTCTTTCTCCTCAATATTTTCTGCTAATCTACCTTCTTTGCAAGCTACATTGGCTCATTTTCTGGCAACGCTCATCGAACTCTCATATTGCTTTTAAACTCTGCATCACATGAATCAGGAGTCTTCATCTATCATGTAGCCAGTGCTATCTTCACTCAATCTCTCTGAAAGCTTATCTCTTCTGTTTACCTTTTTCTACAGCTTGAAATGCTGCCTGGTACAATGCCCTGGTATACGCTTTAAAGCAGAGTTCCCCGATGTTTGTGGCTTTGCGGACCAGCGGGGGGGATGGTTCCGTGCAAGTAGCCAGCAAGCCCGTGTGCTATTTCATTTGCGCATGCTGCATGCATGTGCGCCCGCTCACGCAAATGGAGCACGTGCATGCTGCTCGTGCAAATGAGGATGCGTGCATGCGTGTGTGCTCCCCCGCTGTTTCCATGGCCCGGTTGCAAACCCCTCACTGCCCACTAGTGGGCCACGGACCACAGATTGGGGGACCCCTGCTTTAGTGGATTGGCCTAACCTTCAAGGTAGACCCGAGCAGTCCATGAAATGGGAAATTTATCCTGTGAGCGGATGTGCTCTATCACTATTGACTACACGTTAGTCTTTTAGAAGACTAGTATATCCTTTGAATTGGCAAATCACACTCAAAATTATTTGAGTGACGTTAATCCATTCTGTGAAACTGAAGCCCATTTTAGTCAATTATTGACTATAGCAAATATAGAAGCCAGCCATAAGACATGATATACAGTAAAAATACAGAGTTCATATCAATAAGAAGAACCTATCGCATCTGGCAGAAGAGGGATGCTATGGGTGCCATCTGGCGAAGAGGTACATTTGGTGGAACCCAAGAAGTGGGTCTTTTCTGCAGTGGTGCCCACTTTATGGAACATCATGGCTTCATGCAATAAACCTGGTTGTGTCATCAGGCCTGGGGCCTCAAGGGACTGTGAGGTGCTGAGTGACTCCATTGTTATTAATATCTGCTGCTCTTTTTTTTGCCTTTCAATAACAATTTTTAATTCTGTGTGTTTGTGCCACTGTTTTATGGTTTTTATTGTCAAGTTTTTCATGAGGTGGGTGGCCATATAAATATGATCAATAAGTAAGCCAATAAAATTTGAAATAGGAAGTCCTAAAGCTGGATTACACAGTAGAAAGATACTACATAATTTAATAAAAATTGGAAATATCAATTTAAGCCCGATTCAGTCAATCCCATTTAATATTCTAAAATGGTAACAGTTTCAACTTTAATCCACAAGAAAAATAGTTTTACTGTGGAAATGAGTACTGTATAAAGAAGTCCTAATATTCAGGGCTAATGTGGATTTACTTAAGCCAGTACTATTATTATACATTCAATGAGAATAATATGTTTTCAACAAGAATAAAATGAATTGTAAGTGGCCTTTGATTGTGTCTGTGCTAGAAAAAAAATCCTTTTAAACAAATTTCACTGATTCCAACTGACATATGTTTAAAATTCCTTTTTAAAAAATCAAATCACTTTTCAAGCATATAGACTAACCTGATTTGACTGTCCAGAAAGATAAGGCTCAAAATCATTGTCATGCACTGTATCCTTCTGATGAAGAGAACCATTTTGCACTGAAACAAAAGAGTTGCAATTATAACACGCACACTTTGAAGTTTCAATAAAGATCTGTTTTCTAAAGCACGACAGTATACACAAATAGAACTGTGTTTATTCTACAGCATTATCTATTTAGAGAAGGGGAAAAGGTCAGATTTCAACATGAAAAACACTGCCACATGCCCTCAAGATACCATTGTTCCTTATAAAAACTATCTAAATGACAATTACTGAATACCCCACAAACAGGTTTTTCAACAACCAGCAACACAGTTTTGTTAAAATCAAGAGTAAGACTCATAGAATGAATTAAAATGTATTTGTCCAGGAAAGGAAAGCTGGATCACTTAGTGTAAGCAGGAAGCCAAAGCTGAGAGGCCTCCAAGTCAGAAAGAAGATCAATAACATGCTGAATGAATGGCCCTCATAAAGCTCAACCCTTGAAGGTATACGACATGGATTCTGTATAGCACTTGTTAGTGGCAAGTTAGATTGATCTAAATAAACAGACCTCTTTTAGATGATAGGCACATCACTAATAGTATTTAGTAACTTATAGGAGTTTTTGCAACCTTTTGAATTTCATTCCAATAAGCTTTGTACATGTCCCTCAATATGATCAATCATTAGCAGTTTTTTTTTAACAAAACACAAGTTGCCACATCCTGTTGCCAATCCTGGATTATATTCTGTCGTAACAAATAATGAAGACAAATGCTAGACATGTTCTAAGCTAAGGCATGCTCTTATTTCACCCAAGACCCCAATGTGATTTTTTAAAACTTTGATTTCATCTTTTAATTTAAATTGGTTGTTTTAATGGTTTTATGTATTTTTATTGCTTTATTATGAATGCCACCCAGTGTCATCATGTGAGACGGGCAATTATAGGAATGCAATTAAATAGATTTACGTATGTACAGAAACATATACAGAAATTCCATAGTCAACAATACAGAAAGTGCTAATCAGGAAAAGAAAAATTGACGGCCATTAATAGAAATGCACATGTACACTGCAATCATCAGAAAAATATGAGTTATATATATATTATATTGATCAACATTTACATATAGGTGGTCCTTAACTTATAACCATTCATTTGGTGACTACTGAAAGTGACTTATGTTCATTTTCACACTTACGACTGTTGCAGCATCCCTGTGGTTACTTGATCAAAATTCATATTTATGACCGTTCCAGTGTCCTAGGATCATGCAATCCCCTTTTGCGACTTTCTGATGAGCAAAGTCAATGGGGAAGCCAGATTCACTTAACAACTGTGTTATTAACTTCACAACTGCGGTGACTCACTTAACAACTTTGGCAAGAAAGCTCATAAAATGGGGCAAACTCACTGTCTTGCTTATCAACAGAAATTGTCGGCTCAATTGTTACATTGAGGACTACCTTTATATATATTGTGTCCAGTTGAGTTTATTGTGCTAATTAAACTTTAGCTTATGGAATTTAATTCGCTCTAGTGCTATTGCACTGAGGAATAATTTGATTTTAATTGTATATGTTATTTCATTTTGCATATGTAGTTTATATTGCATACTGTTAAAGAAAAGCTTAGTTAACAATATGAGATAAACAACTAAACTATGCTATAAACCAGGGGTGGGTTCTACTTACCTTTACTACCAGTTTGCAATGGAAGCGCGTGCACACGCTTCTGCGTATAAGCTTCTGCGCATGCGCAGATTGTCAATTATGACGTCCAGGTGGGTGGGCGGAGCCTCCCCTTTTACTACCGATTCGCAAGAACCAGACAGAACCAGGAGCACCCCACCACTGCTATAAGCACAACCACCAGATGCTTTACTTTTTTATACGTACACATATACAGGTAATCCTTGACTTATAACAGTTTGTTTAGTGAGTTAGAAGTTACAACGGCAATGAAAAAATTGACTTATGACTGTTTTTCATATTTATAACCACTGCAGTATCCCTGTAGTCATGTGATCGAAATCCAGATGCTTGGCAACCAACTCATATTTATGACGGTTGCAGTGTCCTGGTGTCATGTGATCATCTTTTGTAACCTTCAACAGTCAATGGGGAAGTCAGATTCGCTTAACAACCGCGTTACTAACTGAACAGCTGCAGTGATTCACTTAATAACTGTGGCAAGAATGGTTGTAAAATGAGGCAAAACTCTTAACAACTGTTTCGCTTAGCAATAGAAATGTTGGGCTCAATTGTGGTTGTAAGTCAAGGACTACCTGTATATGTACGTGCTACAAATATATGAGGTTAAAATTTTTTGAAAAATTAAAATTCCATGTTATCTATCAATGTAAGCATATTATAGGATCTCTTTCATAATAAGGAGCATTTCTTTGAACGTGTAAATGTTATCTTACATTTGCATTTTGATGCTAAAATGTCAGGACTAGTTTGCTATTACTAATAAGATGTGCTAATTATATTCAAATTCACAGCAGGTTGAACAGGATTGGTGATTTTGCCATTGATCTACTGTCTTTCAGGAACTCCCCCATCAAATATTGCTATTTCAGATATAATCTCTACATCTTGCACTCCCAAGTATGTTCAACTTTTTGGAAGAAGTGCTCCAAAAATAGCTTCAGTGGAAAAAGAGGGATGATGTGTCAAGTCTCATGATTTATAATCTCATAATGTTCCAATGACAGAAGAAGGAGTTGTACTTGCAGTACAAAATTATTACCATCTTAGAAATTTATTATTTTTTACTTTTGATTTTTCTTAAGGGGAAAAAAAAAACCACTCAAAGAGAATGTTCTGACTTTTAAAAAGTAAAAGGGTATGAGAAACAAGCGCCTGCTGAGAACACTGTTTTAATTATTTTGAAGATTTAAGTTTGTTATAACTTGCTTTCTGAGGTTTTTATTCTGGAAAGTATAGATATTATTTTTTAAGATCTTTAGATAAAAATCCAATGAGCTGCATAGACATTTATAGGACTGAATTTATATATAGGAATAAACCTCACTGAGAGTTATAAAGAAATAACAAAACAGAGGCTTTTCGTTTTTTAATGAATCACAACCAAACATTTGCATGAATACATTCATATAAATCTGCTATCAGAAGAACTATCTAAGATTAGAACTTTTCTTACCTTTATTATCCTGACCTTTCGCTCTCTGTCATGCCATAGCACAGGGTACAATAAAAGAGACAAAACAAATATTTGTCATTTGTTGAGACCTCAGAATAAAGCAAACTATCATCTATTGAAAATGTATAACAGCGATACAATATTGTGTTATATATTCAAGACAGATGAGTCTGTTTAGATATTTAAAAGTAGGTAATTCTCAACCACAAGATTTTCTCTGGCTTCAATTTTACTTTCTACAAGTGTTATGTCTTTGATGATTTCAAAAATATTTGCATTTATTAAATCTGCTTACAAATTGTTAATAGGGTATCATGGCCTTTCAGGAGATTGGAAACAAACAATAGCCACATATTAATAATATAATGCAATAATGAATATTAAGGATTCAGTATTTTTCTTAAAGAGGAAATAAAAGGTATGGAGAATAAGAAATTCAGAGTTACAGACTACAGAGAAATATTGCTATGCAATATATTTTGAATCTGAAATGCCCCCCAAATCTGTTTTGCATCTAAAGTGGGCATTGCCTACCACTCTGAAGTGTTTTGAGTACAAAATATTATTTTTCAACAATTGTTTTGATCATGAAATACTTCCAAAAGGGTTCGAATTCAAAACTTTTCACAAACCCTTAATATGTATTTTTAGTTACCAGATAAACATAAAAGAAAAAGAAATGGCTTCTTGGAGGGCTTCTTAGAAAAGGCAGCAAACCCTCCAAGCCTCAAAATATTATCCAATGTGCAAGAAGTTGAACTTCAACAGGAATATACACATAGACATATGTATTTGTTCTCCCAGTATATAACGAGAAAAGGGGGAGGGGGGAAACAAAAATGAAATGGCAGCATGTAAAGAATCAAGAAATGATTGAGAAACAAACTTAAGTACCACCTATGTTGCCTTAGGCAAGTCATTATGTCTGAGACTCGGATCCCTTAACATGTGAATTATACTATTCATTTTACAGTACCAGTAAAATTACAAGAAATAATATTAAACTATTTAAATACTACAAAGCAATTATAAGGGCAAAGATACATTTTTGCAGTCATGAGCAATAGTGCTTTTGGAAAAAGTTCTCATTTTTTGAAAAAATAAATCTTCTTGGGATACAAAATTAGATGGGAATATTTATTCCCATCTATAAGCCAAACTCCTAGAATGAGACTGATCTTTTAAAACTGAAAGTGGGAGGGCCTGTGTCAATGAAGACTGAAACAGCTGACACAAGAAGGAAGATTATAGAAAAATTATTAAACCGTCTGCTTAAGGATTGATGCTCAAACAGAAACATGAAGGAGCTTCACTGACATCAAGTGCAGTAAAGAAAATAAAAGTAGGGCCTAGAAGAGAAACAGGAAGCTTGAAGCTAGCAAGAACATTCCTACAGAAATAGTAGCTTAAAGCTGCTCAGGATACAGAAACTTAATATCCAGGGGGATCTGGTCTTCAGTAACTATCTAAAAATGGCTTTGGGTGGCTTGCTCAGACCTAACCCAAGAGTCCAAATTCAGATCCGCCATCCAAGGTACTGTTGAAAGATGTGCCTGATCAGGGTTTTTCTTTTGGACTCAGAGCTCAGGAGGAGGGGTTGCCCCTTCTTTTTATATTCTGACACTCAAAGCCACCAGGCCCAGTCCTCCAAAGCAGTCCTGAAAGGGGGGGGGGAAGGGGGAGGAAGCCAAGCAGCCCAAAATCGAAGGTAGGGCCGGGTAATCTTTTAGGGGCCAAGTAAGCTCTTAACAAAGGCCTGAAGGAAGAGAGGGAGGGAGGGAGGGAGAAAGAAGAAAAGAAAGGGAGGAAGGAAGGAAAGAAAGAGAGGGAGGGAAGGGAGAGAAGAAAGGGAGGAAGGGAGGAAGGAAGGAAAGGAAGGGAGAGAAGAAAGGGAAAGAGAGGGAGGAAGGAAGGAAAGAAGAGAGGGAGGGAGGGAGGGAGGAAGGAAAGAAAAGAAGAGAGGGAGGGATGGAAGGAAGGAAGGGAGAGAAGGAAGGAAGAGAAGGAAAGGAAGAGAAAGAAGAAAGAAGAAAGGAGACGGGAAAGCCAAAGCCATTCGCCCAAAGAGCAGAGAAGAAAAGGGGCTTTCTTCTTCCTTTGAACCTCGCTGGCTGGGCTGCTTCTCCCCCACCCCCGCACGGGTTTGGACTACATCTCCCATCGTGCTCCCTGGCGAAGCCTGGCTTCGATCAAGGCAGGCGGGAGAAAGGAAGCAGAGCGCATTCCCCGCATCCATGAAAAGAAAAAGAAAAAAAGCGCGTTATGCCCGAGGAAGGATTGGTCGAGAGCCAAGGAAGGCAGAGCTGCTGGAGACGAGTTCGAGGGAGTGGGGTGGGGGGGTTGGGAAGAAAGGAAGGAAAGAAGGGGGGAAAAAAAGAGGGATGCGGCTGGGCCTTGCTCCCCCCATCGACTTACCTGGGGGTCAACGCTAGTGGCAGACATCTCTCATGCGCCCTGAAATAAAGGGGAGGGGGGGGTTGGGAGGGGGAAAGGGAAGGAGTGGAGGGGCGGGGCCACGCCAGGCAGGAGCGCGCGCTCTTTCCCTCCCTCCTCTGCTCCTGTAACCCCCCTCCAGAGAAGGGGGCCTATGCGCACGCGCGGGGGCGCGTGGGAAGGTGGGAGTGAGAAAGGGGAGCGGGAGCGTTAGGTCAAGGGAAGGAGGGAGGGGGGAAAAGAGGGCCGCGCGCACGCGCGCTGGCTCGTCCGTGCGCGCGCTCGTTTCTTCCCTCACATCCTTCGCCTTCACTCACGAACACACACACACACGCGCGCGCGCGCACACACAAGGAGATGGGGAGGGGGGTGGGAGGAGAAAAGAGAAAAGGCCAGCCGCTGCTGCTGTTGCGCGCTCGCCGGTCCTTCCTCTCGCTTTCCCCGGCTCTTAGCCTCGAGACTTCTATATCCTGGCCGCCGCCTCCCGGAGGAAAAAACCGGAGAGGCCGGAAGGCAAAGGAGACTCTCAGGCAGCCGGAGGAGCCTTCGAACTCCAATGGCGGCGGAGACCGGGCTCCGGTGACGTCAACGCCTCGGCTGCGCGGAGCATGCCGGGAAGGGGAGAAGAAAAAAAAAAAAGCAAAGGGCCACCGCGCGCTCGCCGACGATGAGGGGGGGAGAGGAAGGCATCACCTGCTGGGCATGCGCAGGAGCGAGACGGCCGTTAGGCCGAGCGGTCTCTAACGCAATGCCCGCCTTTGGTCTGCCCAGTTTTTAAGTTCCCGCCCAATCCTCCGTGGAGGTCGGGTGATTGGCAGGCCGGCGGGTGGGATCAGGAAGGAATCGGAGCCAATCGGAATGACAGAAAAAGCTGAGGGGGATATCATGGCCGATCTCTCTCTCCCAAAATAACATTCCCCCCCCACCCCAGTATCTAACCGCCACACTCATTTTGAGGATGGACGTGGGGAATGCGCGCTTTTCCCCGTGAGGCGGCTTCTTTTTTGATAGTCGCGTGGCAGGTAGAAGTTCAACAGGGGTGGCCCGGACATGCGTCCAAATGCTATCTGTTGAACTTTGGTGCCTCAAATAGTCCCGAGGAGCGAGGAAAAAAAGGTTGCCTTTTTTCTGGCCTTTATTAAGGAGGACCAGGCGATGGTTGAATTCACACAAAGAGCACAAACCATGGTTTGAAACTCTGGATTATATAACTCTACAACTGTCTGGTTTGGTTCTGCAACCCAACAAGACAGACACAGACTTTGGAGGATAATTAGAACTGCAGAAAAAACAATGGCTACCAACCTTCCATTGAGGACTCCTATACTGCACGAGTCAAAAAGAGGGCTGTGAAAATATTCACAGACCCCTCGCATCCTGGACATAAACTGTTTCAACTCCTACCCTCAAAACGACGCTATAGAGCACTGCACACCAGAACAACTAGACACAAGAACAGTTTTTCCCCGAATGCCATCACTCTGCTAAACAAATAATTCCCTCAACACTGTCAAACTATTCACTAAGTCTGCACTACTATTAATCTTCTCATCGTTTCCACCACCCATCTCCTTCCGCTTATGACTGTTAACTTTGTTGCTGGTATCCTTACTATTTATATTGATATTGTTTCCTAGTGTGATTTGATTGCTTATTTGTACCCTATGACTATCACTAAGTGTTGTACCTAATGATTCTTGACGAATGTATCTTGGTTTTTTATGTACACTGAGAGCATATGCACCAAAGACAAATTCCTTGTGTGTCCATCACACTTGGCCAATAAAAAAATTTATTCTATTCTATTCTATTCTATTCTATTCTATTATTGGGATCATGTAATATTCTCTTCTGAAGAACATCAATGAGTTACCTGATGAACATAATTTTGTTTTGCATTCCATTGAGTATAAGCAGGACAGTACATTGCAGTGGTGAAATCCCATTTTTTTTACTACCGGTTCTGTGGCCGTGGCTTGGTGGGTGTGGTGTGGCTTGGTGGGCGTAGCAGAGGGAGGATACTGCAAATTCTCCATTCCCACCTCACTCCAGGGGAAGGATACTACAAAATCCCCATTTCCTCCCCACTCCTGGGAGGAAAGATATTGCAAAATCTCCATTCCCATCCCACTCTGGGGCCAGCCAGAGGTGGTATTTGCCTGTTCTCCGAACTGCTCAAAATTTCCGTTGCTGGTTCTCCGAACTACTTAAAATTTCCACTAACAGTTCTTCAGAACCTGTCAGAACCTGCTGGATTTCACCCTGGTACATTGTACTAAACTATGGTTTGTTTAATCGTGGTTCATAATCAACTACATGCAACTTGGGTTGAAAGCTACCTTGCTACCACATGGACAGCTGGATTCAGCCAGTCAGAATAAGTCCAGATTCAGAACCTGCAAGGATCAGCATCTTGTGTGAAGGGACTTAAATACCTGAAGCAAAACCTTGATTTTTTGAAAAGGGTTCGCTGAATTTGCTAAGTTGATACATGTTGCGGTAACCACAATGCGCAAAATATGGGTAGTTTCGACAACAATCACAACGGAGCCCTAAACTTTGGTTGCTAAGTGAGACAAATTTGGATTCCTTCATTGACTTCGATTGTTGAAGCTGGCTGGGAAAGTTGCAAATGGTGATCCCTTGACCCTGGGACACTGCAACTGTTATAAATACAATTATTTACCATTATATTTCAAACTGGTAATCCTCGTCTTAATAACCACAATTGAATCCGAAAGTTCTGTTGCTGAGAGACTTGTTAATTTTGCTCCATTTTACAACCTTTCTTGCCATGGTTGTTAAGTGAATCACTGCAGTTGCTCACTGTAAAGTTGAATCACTGCAGTAACAACTGTAAAGTGAATCTGGCTTCCCCATTGACTGCTTGTCAGAAGGTCGCAAAAGTTGATCACATGATCCCGGGACAGTGCAATGGTATAAATGCAAGTCAATTCCCAAGTGTCTGAATTTTGATTATGTTACCATGGGGCTGCTGCAATGGTCATAAGTGTGAAAAATGGTCATAAGTCACTTTTTTCAGGGTTGTCGTAACTTCAAATCAGAGGTGGTTTCAGCAGGTTCTGACCAGTTCTGGAGAACCGGTAGCGGAAATTTTGAGTAGTTCAGAACCGATACTAAAAATTCTGACTGGCCCCGCCCCCATCTATTCTCTGCCTCCCAAGTCCCAGCTGATTAGGAGGGAATGGAGATTTTACAGTATCCTCCTGGAGTGGGGTGGGAATGGAGATTTTACAGTATCCTTCCCCTGCCACGCCCATCAAGCCATGTCACGTCCACCAAGCCACACCCACAGAACCAGTAGTAAAAAAATTTGAAACCCACCACTGCTTCAAATGGTCACTAAATGAAATGTTGCAAGTCAAAGACTACCTGTACTGTAGCCCAAACCACTTTATTGCCCAGCATGCTGCATGAACCCAGTCAAAAATACTTTGGGGTAAAGATAAGTAGATTGTAATCATCATAGATGTTTGAAGGGTAATGGAATATGGGGGTCAACTTTTAAAAAAACCTATCTTCAGAGTCCAATTACATGTAGTCCTCGATTTACAACCGCAATTGAGCCCAACATTTCCATTGCTAAGTGAGTTTTGCTCCATTTTTTGTCAGTTGTTAAATGAATCATGGTTATTAAATGAATCTGGCTTTTCCCATTGACTTTGCTTGTCAGAAACCAGCTGGGAAGGTTACAAAAGGTGATCACATGATCAGCAACACCCTAGCTCCAAAGGGACCCAAAGCAATAGTTTGAAAAACCCTGGTTCACTTTTAGTTAACCTTACAAACCAAAGCTGCACAGCATTAACCTTAAGCAGTGTAAATTGTACAAGCCAAGAGACATTTCTGATTCCAAGGCATCTCAGAGCATCAAGTTACTTCATGCAGAAGTGCTGATAATATATCTGGGAATATCCTAATCCTCCAAAACGTTCAGCCTTATCTGTTGTATGTAAACATGGTTTTAATACATGCTGGGAATGACAAGAAAATGGAAGGTAGTTTGGATTTATAACTCAATAGTGAGTTGTTGAAGCCAAAGCAGTGGTGAAATCCAATTTTTTTTACTACCGGTTCTGTGGACCTGGCTTGGTGGGCGTGGCAGGGGAAGGATACTGCAAAATTCCCATTCCCTCCCCACTCCTGGGGGAAGGATATTGCAAAATCTCCATTCCCATCCCACTCTAGAGCCAGCCAGAGGTGGTATTTGCCGGTTCTCCAAACTGCTCAAAATTTCCGCTACCGGTTCTCTAGAACCCGTCAGAACCTGTTGGATTTCACCCCTGAGCCAAAGTGTTAGGCAAGGGGGCAAAATGGGGTAAAACTCACTTGTCTTGCTTAGCAATGGAAATTTGGAGGTCAATTGTGGTTGTAAGTCGTGGACTACCTGTATTACATTATTACAACCTGGCCTTCTCTTATCAACGTGTGACCTGAGTAAATCAGCCGATGTAGAACAACATCAGCAAATATTTTAGGAAGGATTCTAATAGAAAAAAAATCCTTGACATTTTTGTGCTTAACCAATACTTGTGGAAAGAAAGTTATGAACAGCTGCCAATGTTCTGAGGTTTGAGCTAGATAGATCTTTCAGTCAAATACAAGGCATAGCTGTGGTCTTCTTTTTAATCTTATTTAATAGGCAAATACTAGTCATATAGTTTCTAAAAGTATCCTGAAAATAATCATTTTATACTCTGTCCTTTGTGTCAAAATCATTTTACACTGCAAAACACTAGCCTCTTGGCCCAAATAGCACTTGGACATTTCATTATGCAAAACTGACAAAATATCCAGGACAAACATAAATGTCCATAACAAGATGTTTGGCCCCTGATTTGATATCATGAATTATTTGGGCAAAGGATAATGAATTGCTCCTTGAGTTTGTGCATCTTGAGTGGCCGAGGTTTCTTCCACTCATCCTTTTGGTCATTTTGCTCTCTTAAACTGAGTGTTGTCATTTGACTGGGGAACGGAACTAAATTCAGCGTTTGGCAAATGAAAGATCAATTTTTGGAGTAATAATTCAGCTATGAAAATAACGGGGACTATTTAACATCATATTTTAATCTATTTCCCCTTCCTATTGGGGCCATTTCAAGAGCAACTACATTGAGATAAACAAGATTAAAAGAGCACAGCCAACCCACTAAATTCCATGGCAGAATTAAGGTAGATATTTGATTACTCTAACCTCTAAACCACACCATAGTAGTTTGTATCCATAAATCAGGCTGAAAAGTGGTTGCAGCTTTAAATGGCTCATTGGGTACACAAGTTAAGTAATTACCAGGGTGGGGTTAGGAATTTAAAGGCAGCCCAGAAGGCAGTGTTCTAGCTGTGTTTCTAGTTTGTGGCTGAAGGTTTTTTTGTGTGTGTGTATGTTCAGTTCCAGTTAGGTAAGTACAAGAATAATAGTGCTATGTTCTGAATTATTTGTGTTGCTGGTTTTAAGATTGAGGTGTAGCTGGCTTGTTCCATAGGCTGCTACATAAGTTAGCTTCCATATATATGTTTTTCCTAGATATAATTTACGGCTTGTGTTACAATACAGTTTGTTTCACAAGACAAAATT